TGTGCTACGCTACAAGTATTTGTAAATAGAACTAATTGGGACAACTCATCCATATAGGTCTTATCAGTACATGCTTACAAAACCTGACTACTCACCACGATGTGAATATGCTGTTTCGGTCACAAAAATGAAGCAGAAGGTCGTGGCCAAAATGTAAAAGGACAAATAAACGATGTCATGCTGACAACATTCTAATTCGCCGGTTGTTGTTCACTGATTCGAATCCTCCGTGATTTTAGTTGCTTTATCGTGTGGTGAAAGATTAATTCACATCATAAGTTGTCCCATTTAACTTGGCATTGGTGCCAAATTCTGGACATACTCAACCTGACGGCACTCGATCGTGCATCTGCATCAGATCATGTATAGGTACTCCGCGTTATGCATCATTTGCAACTACTAACCAGCTTAAAACAAACGCTTTTCAACATGTCGGCAGCTTTCGGAAACTATCTCCAAATCCACTCACACAAGTGAGGCCAACCAACTATATATCTGCCGACAGCAGTAGCATACACCACAGTATGAGCATATATATGGTTACATCGATGTCAGTTTATTGTGTGATTTAGTTGGAGCATTTGGATATGCAGTTGTAATATGGTGTCACAGCAGTTAGTTACCCAGCTATCAGTGTTGACGCTGTTTAATTTGTTCAGTAGAGATTGTCTTAGAATAGAGCAGATGACGTGAGAACATTCTAGAAAGGCGCGTCGGACATACTGCTTACCGTTCCCAAGTTGAACACTGTTTTATGGTACAAAACAACAGCGGCATCTAAGTTGCTTCTTTTGCAGCTGTGAACTAACCGATATGAAAGTATTTGTTGAAGATTCTTGTGAATAGATAACACAGAATTTCATCAAGCTTCTTAGAAAGGAGGTCCAAAGTTTTATCCTGTCCTAAAAATTGAGACAGCTTAAGTGACTAGGGACATCTTCGGACAGAAGTGGCTCACAGAAATGGTTTCAGTGGGACAATAAATATCAAAACAGAATTCAAGATTACATATAATCACGTTAACGGTTTTTTACAATAAGCCTGTAGTGGTATTTGTCCTAACCACACAATGCTCAAAGCTAAATATGAGATAACAGGGAAAATAGATGTTCAACGTTAAATACGGAGAGATGATCAACAGTCATGAACGCGGGAATATTCATACATTCAATCGGATGGCATGGCTCAGGCCCGCAGTCGTCGTCATTCTGTATAACTTGTTTTTATTCATATTAAATATATTATCCTATCTTAAGCTCAAATGTGTCCTTCAGAAGTACTAAGTACCATATTGTTAATTGTTACGTTCGGTGAGTCAGTGTAGACAATGATGTGACTTCTACGTAAGATCTTACCGATCAGGCAGTCACATCGTGACAGATCTAAAATTTTGTGATTAGGTCTATTATTATAATAGTACTAATAGCGAAGTAGACCATAATTCTATAAGTCGTCTTTAAACAATCCCAAATTAGTTATATGAAACATGTTTTTCAGGTTTTGGATATGTTCTTTAAACTGCTTTCTTTATTCGAATTTCTTTTTCTGCTGTTGCAGTCCACTTTCTCCCGTCTTGTCATATAGATTACGTAGAACAAGAATAATTTGCTGATCAGAACTAGATAATGGAGCACATGTTCCCACATCATTGATGAAAACTAGGACTTAGTGGGCATTCAAACGAATGAGAAAATCTAATTCATTATGGCGACCTAGTGATGAAAGAATGCTACAGCCACATGAACTAGAATCACCACATACACTTAAAAGTGAACCAGTGAGGGCAGTTATAACAAATTCAGTAAACTCATCAGAGAAAACAGACAATGCAGATGATGTGAAGTCCGCAGTCACGTAGATTCTGGTAGTCATAAACATATGTATATTTATTCAAGTGTTTCGGACGGCATCTTGAAGTTTAACAGTCGATAAAAATGTTTGAAATCTTGAAACGTTAAAAAGTTGATCGATATCAGTTCACATTTCTTTCAGAAAAATCACCCAGTTTTCATTGACACTGAACAACAATACTTCCTGATCTATAGAGCAGGTGAGATAGTGTTTCACAAGAGTTAAAAAAGATGTGTTTTATGACGCCAAACTCTTCTGTGTCACTGACGTCAGTGATTTTGTTGATCATTTTGTTGGTTTCAGGAAAACATAAGACACTCGGTGGTGTACGATAGATTAAAACAGACTGCACCTCAATGGAACAATTGCCACTTGAAAACCAGTCAAATTTCAATAGTCAAACTTCATGGATCTATTTAAATTTGTGAAATCTTGTTGTAATATGTCAGACCTCTCATTTTTACTTAGTTTCACGATTTTGTTGTTGAAATTGTTGCAAAAAACAATATCAATCCTTCACATAGTCGGTTTATTAATCAATGGATTGTAGGAGTATTTGAAAAAATGTATCTTCACTTCTCTGACATCTAAAATTGCTATCACTAGGTCCTCTTGGTGGAACTATTGGACCCATTATTCCTCTTTGATTCGCAACACGGGTGTCTTCGATTGACCATATTTGACAGTGAGATATTGAGGAACGCACAATAAAACATTACATACGCAAAGTGGTCTTATCGCGGTATTTATACGCACTTACCGTAAATAAATATGAACAGGACGACTCGTAAACGAGTTGTTTCAGGCTATTGAAGGATGGTCATGAACAAGAAAGCAACTCGGAGCTACTGCAATTTCGCTGAGGATGGACAAGACGCCCGACAAGATGAACTAATTGTAAGTAGTACGGTGGCTCACGGAATATTGGAAAATTGAACGAGCGCGAAATATTCTACACCTTCCAGATCTCTATCAAGTGAGATTGGGCTGGTCTTCTTTGTGTTGTATTTGAAAGTCTTGGTTTTTCCACTGTGTACGTTGAGGCCTACTGACGCAGAGGCTGATGCAAAAATATTTGTCTTTATCTGCATTTGTTTGTGTGCATGGTATAGAAAGGCCAGATCATCTGCGAAGTTAAAATCTTTAATTGATTCCGATATGTCCATTTTATTCCGTGCTTTCCCTCAGATGTCGAGGTTTTTATGGTCCAGATGGAGACTAAGCAGCCTCGCTTGTCCCCGGTTCCTAATTGGAATGCATCTGTCAGCTGTCATGCATGCACGACTTTTCACTATAGTCCGTCGTATGAATTCCATATGATGTTGACGATTTTCTCAGTGTCGGGGAATGTTTCATAAGGTTTTCCCATCAGCGACGAGTTCCATTCAACTGATTGTTCGACGATGATCCGTATTGTAGCAACTTGTACTAAACACGACCGATACTTGCGGAATCCAGCCTATTGTTCTCGAAGTTAGGCATCTACCGCGTCTTTCATCTGGTTCAGTGACACTTTGTGGAAAACCTTTCCTGGTACTGACAGTAGTGTGGTGCCTCTGTAGCTCCCACATTTGCTCAGATCTCTTTTCTTCGGTATCTTGATTAGGTGTCCTTTCCAGTTCATCAGAACTTGTTCTTCCTCTCAAATCTTCCTGAATAAAACGTGGAGAGTGCTTGCAGTTGCTTCTATGTCTGGCTTCAGTGCCTCAGCTGGTAAATCGTCAGGTTCTTCTGCTTAGCGTGTGGAGCATTTTCCTCGTCGTGACAAAAGTACAGCAGCATTTCTTCCGTGTCTAGCCTTTGTTGTCCAGCTTAGGTCTAATCGGTTCTACTTATTCTGAGCACCTTCAAGTTGTGAATCCTCATTTCCGCTGCTATTTTACTGGTCCTCCTGGTCTCTTATATTGTCCTGATGTTCCGTGTGCTATTTTTGACTTCCGGGGAACATTTTTGGGCTTAGGACAGCATCTAAACTTAAAATAAGAAGACGTTACACGGAGTGACCAAGCCTATGGGGACAAGCCATGCCTTATAGATTGAGCGTTGCTGCGTTAACCATTTCTGACCTTTTATGAGTGTTAAATTTTGAATGGAAATCTCAGTTATCACATGTTTAGTTTCTAGGATCATACGGTTGAGAACCAATACCCTTAGAGACACATCAGTAACAAATTTCATCTAGAGTACTAATTGTTTCCTAAACTCAAACTCATGAGAAACGTTACATTGTAATGATTTGCGCAAACTGTGACATTATAGCGTGCTTTGGCGGAAAGTCTTCAAGAGCACAGTATGTAGAAGTGCGAGATATAACAAGAAAAAGGTTTGAAGCTCAATATACATACATAATTTACTCATATTTAAAAGTGAGTACACAAGTCAACAAATAGTAATATCGCGGGTGTGTGACTAAAGGGACAAGGAAATCAAGACTAACAACCGTAACATGAGGTTTTGCGTCCGTAACGGATTACCCTTTGCATAAGGTGAGCACGTGTTTCTTTTTGACAATCCACCAAAATTATCGGAAATACCCGAAGATCTGTACCAGTATCGAAGAGATACCATACAGTCATCATCATATCGGTGATGTGTAATAGCTTTTTACTACCTCTGGATAGATAACGTCTGGAGGATAACAGTGAAGAAGTCTCCTCAAGTAACAGATATGGTGGAAAAAGGCATTTTATCCACAGTTGTGAGAACACTCGTATGTATTATGGCAGTAATCCCAATAAATTTTGTTGTTTTCATGTCCTTAGGGGGGAAAGGCTTCCGTGAAACAAGTATTCATGGAAATCAAGACAATGATTTATGGAATACAGGAAACGGATTGTAAGTTTTTGGATATGAAAAAGGTGGTTTCATATAGTCCGAGGTTTTTCCTCAGTGAAGTGAACCACAGTGACATTGGTTCTGGTGATCACCTGAACGCCGACTTTGGAAGAATCTAGTTTATGTTCCAGGTTGTTTTGAAGCGAGACGGAAATTGCGTGAACTTGACGAGAAAGAATTCGACGATGGACCGATTATTGGTGTTCGTTGTCCAATAAAATTTTTCGCACTTAGGAACATTTCTCCTAGTGATTGCCGTATTAACAGCTTTGTTGTTCTCAATTCAATGCTTTAATGGGTAATAATGTTCTGATGTTTGAAGTGACTACTGTGCTGTTGATTGTTATATTGTTGTAAATACTGTACAACAGATGAGTCTCTGAAGGCAAATTTATGATCGGTTGCAATCATCAGTCTAATAAACCCTTATTCTTATTTGAAATAACCAGAGGGACAGATTAATCATTAATATAAGGTATGTGATAAAGTAATAAAAATTTCACCTTGACATCCAACCATAAGTTCTGAACTGGCTGAACAGGATTTACATAAGTATTGATTCCTTATATTTTATTTCAGAAATTTTCATTGCATAGTCTGCTAATTTAAATTGATATCTAATGTCTTGGTAGACTGTAGATCATTCTTTGAAAACAACGGGCCAAGGACACTTAGTAGCCCTTTCAGTGCACCGAATTAAATTTAGTACCAGTATCTTTTGCGAAAACTTCACATATTTAATTGATGCTCGGACGAAATAGAAGCTGTCGCTTAACGGATTTCCATATCTAGCAGCAGTGGATCATCGATGCTTCCAGGTAGGAACTTGAGTACATTTGACGATAAATAGAAACGTGTCATCATATCATAGTAAGATACTGTCCTTAGTCCTCAAGAATATGTCGAGTTTCCCCTCAAAAGACTTATGAAAAGCTGTTTAAACCACTTCAGCTGGCAGAGGATTCCAGAATTTGACTACTCGTTAAGAACAAAAGGTGTGCCTACAGTCTGTTCTGCTATGTTGTGTCTCTTTAATTTCTAGTTGTTATCCCTAAGGTTTTTTTAGGACTGAGCCTAAGTAGGTATATAAGAGGATGACCGGTAGTGTTCAGGATGCCGTGTCATTAGGTCACGTCTGAGACGCCCATATCCTAATGGGTAAAGTTTCAGTGATTTGAGAAGTCCTTCAAAAGGTTTGAACTTGAGTCCTTGGACTAATTTCGTGGCTCGCCTTTAGATACATTCCGATGTATTGTTATCCCTTTGGGTTGAAGGAGAGAACACTGTACTTTCAGACTCCAAGTGAGGTCGAATCAAAATGTTTAAGATTAGGTGGAAAGTTTTTCCACCGAACTGTCTTAAAATACGTTACAACGTTAGCAGTACAAGGTTTGCTCGAAAGGTATTTTTTGTCACAATTGACGTAAGACTTCAGATCATAGGGTTCCAAAACCTCCAGTTCTTTTTTAACTTGTGAATCCTTTAGAAGGAAGTTACCTAAGTTGTATTCGTAGTCTGCAACCTGTCTCATATGAACTACTTTACACTTTGAAGTGCCAAAAGTAAGCCCGTTATTGCCCACCCAACTTTGAAGTCGAGTCAGATCCTCCTGAAGTGCCGATTCATCCTCTTGGTTGTCCACGGCGATCAGCAGGTTAGTTACACAAGAGTGATGCTCTCTGAAACTGTGCTGTTAGGGTGGAAAAACGTCTATGTATAGGAGGTAATCACATGGACCATCGAATATCAGGGACTACATAATTTTTGTAGGTATTAAGAGATGTGCTACCGGCCGGTAACTTCACGGTATGTTGCGTCGACCTCCTTTGAGAAGTGATGTAATACGAGCCAACTTTTAATTTTCCGGTACCTTATCTCGGTCTAGCGATTACTGATTACATGGATTAATTACGAATTTGATTGTGCTACAAATGAATCTTAAACTGGAGTCAGATATTGACACAGAAGTTTCACCACATATGGATTTTCGGAGCACAGCTGTGGAGGATTTCGTTTTGTGAGAAATTGTAAGTTTTCCGGTCAAGTTTCGAACCAGAATGATATAAATGTTAAGTGCCCTATAAATTCCAACTGTTTACCAATGAGCTACATCATTGATGAAGACTACTAGCGTAACGTTCTATAGACAAAACATTTCAATAAAACGGAGTGAGATTCAATAAATGTATCGAATATTAGGCTACTTTGATCTATTATGGTTAAAGATAAGTATCTTCTTGTTGACAAAGTAATTCAGAGTTATGGAGGATTATTTTGAGTCGGTCCCACTAGCTGTTTAGAAATTTTTCATCGGAGTTTTACTGGATCATCCAGATCAGGGGTGGATTACTTATGGCGAAAATGATTCAATATTAATATGGACAGCTAAGGTCGAATAGTAATATTATTTCGTGAATAGTCATATAATTTTTAGTTAAATTTTATCACGGTAATATCAGCTAGAGAAGCACTGAAATTCTGGGAGCATCAGGGGCCCATTTAGTGACTTTATCAGTATGGGTGTATCACTTCACATAAGGTGCAGGCCAGTACTTTCATGTTTCGCGAAAACACTAAATTATCAGGTCCCGATTCGGTAGTAAATATTTTCAACTCGAGCCAATTTGTGCTAAAAATACTAAATATCGGGATATTATTACCCACTTTTACTAATAAAACAATGTTTGTTTGCTTTGATTTACAACAAAGTTTGTTACCAATGAAAAACAAGAATCAGACAACAATTCGATTGAGTGAGCAAATATCTGGATACATGATCGATGAAATATCAAGTGAAAGTTCTGAAGGTGGGAGACGGTTTTTAAGAAATCCAGAGAAACGAATCAATAAAAATGTTGGTAGGTAAATGAATCCTGTGGTTTTCCGAAGTTTCCTATAGTTGTGTCAAATGTTTCATTTTAGAGACTTGATAATTTTATGATATAAGGAGTTTCGAGGTTAGATAACAATTATATCCTACTGAATGAGAAGTGATTGCTTCTAGTTAGTACTTGAGCTAGGGTGGTTGCACGTTTTGAACGAAGAAGCCCCTTACAAAATGAGTCAGGAGTAACACTACGGAAAGTTATCTACGCTGCAGTCATTCGGAGCGTAGGCAAAGACAACGAGAAGGTAACCTAGTGTGACTCTGTCTTTTCGACATTTTACTATCGCGTTTTGTCCGACAACACACAAACGAAAGTCTATTGGAATCCAGTCTAATAGAGCTTGTTCTGCTTTTGAACTTAATGCTATACCTACACGAGCGGGACTAAGGGAAGTGGTAGAGAGTTCTCCAGATACTCGAAGGGTAAAATCTTGCCGGTTCCTTATGTTGATAAGGCGAGGTCGAATGAATTACCGTACTTTGACTGCGTATGCGCGTTTTGGAGACGCAGCATATACCAATGGCTGGAGATTCGACACTCTTAGCCAAAGAAGTTTGATTTTCTACCTGACACGAAGTTCGAAGATGAAGTTTGTAATGTGGTTTAAGGAGACCAGAAATAACATTTCTAAAACTCAGATCACTAGCATTAGCGGCTTGTGGAGATAAAAATATACAAGAAGGGTTAGTTGGGGGGTGGTGGTGGAAGAATTATTAAGAGGTGAGGGAGGGATTTGATAGTCAACAAGATTATCTCAGGTGTTGATAGAGGTCTAAAGACTGTTGACACTTCTCTGGTGCCCACACCGTGGAAGGATATTTCTTCTTAAGGGGACTTAAAAAGCAGCTGAATTAGTAGTTTTAGCGATCGGGAACCGTGACCCTAAAGCTCAAGGGACAACTGCTTAAGGTCGGTCACGCACGACCTTTTTATGGTAAGATTATGATGTGCTAGCTCTGCACTTTAAAAGACCTTACTAGCGGAGACGGAAGTCTGTGTGGTAAGGTGAGACAATTTCGGAGTCAAACTTTTTAACCCCTTCCTTCCGGTTTGAGATAGTAGCATAGCTTCAGATGCTGGATGTTCGATGGAAACACCTCAATGCTGTCACACCCCTCTACAGTCAGCAGTACGACTTCATCGTAGAACATCAGGTTGCTGCTTTTGGTCTTACCGCTCTCCAACCGACCTGTCAGGCGTTTTAGGATCTAACGAAACATATGTTCCGGCCAATATAACTCGGTCGTGTCATCACAATAGGTACGCTCGACCACCACTTCGAGTTGGCAGCTACAATCGGGATACGTGATAATAATAGAAGCTTGGCTCCAGAAATCTTTTCGGACTCATGGCTAATGAACAATTGAGACCTGTAGATCAATAGGAGTGTGAATTATCGCTGCTCAAGGTTAGTTGTACCAGTTGAGGAGCATGGTTTATTAAGTCTAGAACGCTAGGTTACAGAGAAGAACAGCAAGCGTGCGGAAATGAAATGACAGTCAAAATTCTGGTAGAGGAATATAGCACACGATGTCGATTAGCGTGTCAAGAAGTAACAAAACTGGTAGCAGTCATATATTGAACGTCGTTTATAATTCTTTTGTTAATATTAAGAGACGTAGCATTTGGAGTGCAACAATACTTTGTAGTATTATGTATACAGTTATTCTCACTTTTCCAAATTTGCCATATTGCTTGGTGACAGCTAATGAACTGTCAAAATAGAGGATCGCCTTACAGCTGCTTTTAATGATTTGAATTTGCTCAACAGTTTAAAACCACAATCGGATACGAAATCAAATTTCGGGATTTTATGCCCACGAGGAGTTCGATACCACTAAATAAACGATTTCAAATCTCTTGGTTCTTATTTCCCAATCCATTTCTTATTGTGATATAGCACGACTGTTATTCAGTACCAAAAATTGTTGACTGCTTTTTATTTTTATTTTCCATTCTAAGTACTTATATCTTTTATTATTTTATATTGTGTGATTTTTATATTTATATGTTTCATTTCTCAATCATTAACCGGCTAACACTTAGTGGTTTAAATATTTAGGTTTTATGATGAGACTTAAGTAAGGTTTGAAATTTAGTTTTTTCTAGTTGCCACCTTGAACGATACGCCTTACAGTTGTCGCGTGGTGTCGAGTCCCAGTTGACTATGAACACTGCTACTGAGAAATACGTGCCAATAAAATCAGAAGGCGTAATAGAACCAAGTTTATTTGATTGGCGATCTTGTGGTATCGAAAGAATACCAAAACCGTGCCAAGAAATGGTACAAGCAGAAGCAGCAGAAGGGAGTACGTGCAAGCGGAGTCACTAACCGCGAAACAATAATGGAGAATAATGGTAGAGCAATATAGCTGTCTTTAGCACAGTTAAACAAACGAGCACAGTAAAACAATCACTGGTACAATTCGTTATAATAATGACTGTTTCCATTAAATCAATCGCGTTCTCTTGATAAAAGTAGGTCACTACACAGTTATTAGATCTAAGTTTAAGATGCAAACGATTTTCGAAATATACAACAAAAGCTTGACCATAAAACTTTGTCCTGAAATCATTCATCATCAATTTATTACACTGAAATATGGAACTGTATTAAAAAAATACAAACTATGGTGGTGTTAGTATGTGAATAACAGATACTAAATAAATAATCAAATTGACATAATAAATAAATAATATATTTGTAATATCCCAATGAGTAGAAAAATTAGATTTTCTGACGTTTCGTGACTTAGTGTGAGCCACTTCTTCAGACAATAAATAAATAAACAAGTCAAGACTTAAACTCGGATTAATTTTTTATTCAGTTATTTATTTATTGTCTGAAGAAGTGGCTCACACTAAGTCACGAAACGTCAGAACATCTAATTTTCCTACTCATTGGGATATTGCAAATATATTATTTATTTATTTATATCAATCTACCCAGTGCTCAATTTATTCGAAATTACGCAGTCAAACCTTGGTAATGACACCTACAAATTGACATAATGTTTAAAAAGACGTAAATTATCATGGCTAGATAAAAACACCTTGTTTATAGTCTTGGAGGTTATTTTAGTGGCTTGCACATTTTAAACTAAAGATATTGAGGTTCGTCTTGCGTAGACCATGTCCTCTGGATAGTCATAATTTAACGGGAATCATCTAATAACCACTTTATAATGTCAGTGATTTGTAAACTTTATAACGACTGTTCCTCTTTCATACAGAATTTCATTAATGATGTCCTGGTTATTTTTTATTTCAGATTTTCCATTATGATTTATATTAAGTTTCATAGATGACAGTTTAGTTGTTTCATTTCTGATAACCGTTTTACCGTGATGAACGGTAATTCAGTTTTTAATACTTTGGTATTTGTGTTATATTAGTTCGAAAACAATCTCCAGCTACAACTGAAGATGAAAATACTGAAGATTTACTGACACCGTTTAGTGCAGGAAAAACGTCAATAGATTTTAATAAATATTCAACACAAAGGGTATTTAATAGCAAAGTAAGTTCATATTTGTGTTTACTGAAAACACATTTCACCTAATCAAGAATAATTAACAAAATAAAATAACATGAATTATATTTCGGAGTTCCTCATCAGTTGCTTACAACCTAAACATAATAGTACTTGATTACACGTACGCCTGTTATCCATCGTCGTGGCGCATAAGCCGTTCACCAGCATTCTCCACTCAACTCTGCCCTGGGTAGTACTTTACAGTTGTTTCCTCTTCATGTCTTCTTCCAATTCTCAACACAGTGTGTTCTTTAGCCTTCCTATTTTCTGTTTCCCTTCAAGATTCCAAATTAGCGTTTGCCCCGTGATGCAATTTGATGATTTTCTTAATGTGTCGCATCCACCTACAGCATCTTTTCATAATTTCCTCTTCAGCTGGAAGTTCGTTTATTCTCTCCCATAGTAGGCCATTGCTGATGGTATCCGGTCAATGGACCTTGAGTATCTTGCGTAGACAATTGTTTATAAATAATTGTACCTTTTTAATAATAGTTGTGGTAGTTCTTTATGTTTCAGCTCCATACAATAGAACTATCTTAACGTTCGTATTGAAGATTAAACATGATAGTATTGATAATAAAAAATCAGCTTACATACTTTACAACATAGCATTAAAAATGCTTACATCAGAAAAGAATAATGTAAAGAGAAAGAACACAGGCGTACTTATCGGCGTCCGACAATGGTGGTCTTTCTTGACTTAAAGGCAGCATTTGACTCCGTAGACCGCGAGATTCTGTGGCAGTGTCTGTCATTGAAAGGCGTACCCCAGAAGTACATAAACCTTGTAAAGGCTCTTTACTCGAACACGACTAGCCGAGTCAAAGCTTATGACGACATGTAATCTACTTTTGCAACCTCAAGTGGTGTCCGTCAAGGTTGTCCACTTTCTCCATTTTTGTTTAACTTCATCATAAACCTATTGATGGGAATAACATTCTCGTCTACTGAATTCTTGGGTATTGATCTCCGTTCAGGAGGTCCACTTATCGACTTAGAATACGCAGATGATATAGTCCTGTTTGGTGAAGGCACTGATAAAATGCAATCTTTTGGTAGCACTAAGCAACAATGCCAGAGTATTTGGAATGCGCTACTCTCCCTCTAAATGCAATTTGTTGCTTCAGAACTGGTCTGTGTCAACACCTGAACTAAGGATAGCGAGTGAAGTAGTCGAACGCGTTGACAAATTCACTTATCTCGGAAGTCTGATCAGCCCTAATGGGTTGGTATCTGACAATATCTCAGCACGGATTCGAAAAGCTCGCTTGACTTTTGCCAACTTACGTCACCTATGGCGAAGGCGAGATATCCGTCTATCAATTAAGGGACGAATATACTGCGCGGCAGTTCGTTCTGTTCTACTTTACGGCTGCGAAACGTGGCCATTAAGAGTAGAAGATACTCGTAAGTTGCTAGTATTTGACCACAGATGCCTCAGAAATATTGCTGGCGTCTACTGGGATCACCGGGTAAGTAATAGTGAGGTTAGATGCAGGGTATTAGGTAATGATGGTAAATCAGTCGATGAGGTTGTGAATCTTCATCGACTGAGATGGTTGGGTCACATGTTACGTATGCCTGAACACTGATTACCACGATGCGTAATGCTGACTAGTGTTGGAGACGGTTGGAAGAAAGTTAGGGGCGGCCAAACCAAAACGTGGCATCAGTGCTTGAAGTCACTAACTTCTAGTCTGAACCATGTTGGTAGATGCAGACTATTTGGTTGGGGTCCGCGTGACTGTCGTAACCAATGGTTGGAGACTCTTGGTGACATGGCTCAGAATCGATCACAATGGCGTTGGTGTATACACTCTCTGTCTTCCCTTAAACTAAGAGATTAAAATCGCTTCATATCTTTCTTTCTACGAACTAATTCTTTCTCCGTGTACTGTATGCTTATTGCAATCTTTCTTTTATATATTACCACCTCTGAATTAACTACTTTTATGAATCCGGTGCCCATCTTGTTGTGTTAATGAGGTATGGCAACTTGGACCGATGCATACATGTGCCTGGTCCTACGTTGTAGCTGACTGACTGACTGAAAGAGAAATAAGTATGAATGAATTATAAGAGATGTTCATATCTATTGAATAATATGAATACTTATAAGTTGAATATATCGTTATTCTCGAATAAACATTAAAAACGAGATATTAACATTGTTATTGTGCAAAGTAAAGTAAAATTATATAACTGAGTACAGCTTAAATAAGAAGTGTTGTGAAAAGTTGCATAATAAACATTTGTAAAAGACTTCACAACAACAGAACAAGATTGGCAACTGAATCTTGTTGGGTTCGAATCCTACGAGACGGGGTCGTGGATGCGCACTGCTGAGTCCTACAATAGGCGAAACGGCCGTCCAGTATTTCCAAGTTTTCCATGGTGGTCTAGCTTCAATTGACTCATGATCTCAACTATTGAAATTACTACAATCTCCACAAAACCCCTTCTGGCATAAATTACTTCAGCAAAACATGGTAAATTCAACGTTTTTGTTTATTTATTTATTATCTTGAAGGAATTTGTAAAGATTTTATTGTGTAATTTAATTTTATAACAGAAAACAGCTTGATTTATATGTATTTTTATATCACTTATTTTTTAAAACTATCTACCTTTTTATTAATTAAAACAAACTAATGAATTAATTTTTATTTAATTTAAAAGCTGACAAATTCAAATGGGACAAAATCAAAGGAATTTGAAAAATATTGTATCAATAATAATGTTGTGAATGAACCATTAGTAGTACGAATAAATAATGAGAATGATTTAAGTAGAATTTCAGCTTTGTCCTTCAATGATAAGAATTCACTGACTGATGCAAGTAGAGGTAAGTTTATATATATGGAAAAGGAATAAGAAATATTTGTTACTTAGCTTAGAAGTTATCCTTATTAAGCCGAAATAGCTTCCCGCTCATATTGATTAAATAATACCTAGGAAAAAATTACAACGTTTGTCTACATCCTGTCAGATGCTGAAAAATTGTGAAAGCTTTTAAATCCCCTGTAAGGGAATTCAGAAAATTTAATCGAAAAGAATATTCTTCGTTCAAATACTAGTCTTTCAATTCTAAAATTCTTAGAAAACATTTAAGTAAATACGAAGTATTAACTCGAAATTAATGTGGGGGATTGCTGAAGTTAATCATAGGGTAGTGAATAGTTTCGAGTACTGAACCCTTGTCTTTATGTAATGTCAATTTTGATGGTTGAGTGGCTAATGAAACCTCAGAATAGACGAAAAACTATAAATGAAGTTTTATCAACCTCTGAAATCTGTGATGTAGACAAGATATTAGTCAACTTTTCAGATATCAGTTGTACTATGTAGGAGTCCTTTGTGTGTTAAATGAAAACCCAGAAGTGTTACAATATGTTTTTGAAATCTTGATCTTAAAATCAATTAGTCTGTCACTAGTTAGCGACCAGTATGTTGTATTTGTGTACCTATATTCCAAATTCAGATTATCTAGTTTAATGAAATAACAGTATGACAAAAGAATGCTTGGGAGAACTTTAACTATACAATTTAGTTTAATAGATAACTTTTGATTTGTTCAAATGTACTATGGTGATTTGTGGTAGCGAAAGTAAGTATGATTGGTCACTGATTGTGGACAGATAGGAACCCGACTTACTGATCATTACATATATGATTTCATTTCCTCTAATTGATTTCTACTCCGGACACACTGTGAGTGACTGCTTGTAATTGCGTGGGATAAAGTGTAGTCTAGAGTTACTCTGGTTCCTTCTTCTTGGTCATGATTCAGGCATCTGTGTGTAGCGGATCTTTTGAGTATTCAGTCTAACTGTATTATAAGCTCAGTCACATATATCGGTTTTATTATCATATTATTGTATTAGCTTAGCATACTGTAGAGAGAGAGAGAAAGATGTTTTAATTCATCCGTTATATCAGGTGCTATATACTATATAAATTAATAAGTAACAAAAATAAACGTTGAAAGTATTTGGGAACAGAAAATGGTTGGTGTTATAAATTGTGACCTGCGTGCCCTGTTAGTTTATAACGTAATCATACTGCCAACTAGAGAGCAGTGAATTATCGATCGGACTAATGACTCCTAAAACCCGTGCGAGTAGTCTAGAATCCAGATTGGTCTTGCTTTCTGCCTAGCCCAGGCAGTTAAGTTCAGAACACCAATCTCAGCCTCTGCGATATGAATCATTTAATTCGAACATACTCGGTTTGTATACCAACCAGACGGACCACACCGTGACATAAAATATGAAACAACATTTGTACAAGAATTAGCCAAATGTGGCTGTGAATAAGGGAGATAGTAATTAATAGACAGGCCATGATTTAAGAATGCTAAATCTTATAGTAATAGTTCATAGGTCAAAATAAAGCTCATAATAAGAGGGACACGGATATGAATCGTTTAGTTACATAACAATTATACGATAAAAATATACTTATAGTATTGGTCCATAAATGGATCCTAAAAATTACCATTCATTATGCTTATCGGGACATAACAGTTAGGATATAGGGAGTTAGACGCACAATGGAAAGAAAAGGTAGGTATTTTATATAAGTGAATAAAACAAAATTATAATAAATACCACAAATCAGAAAGCAACAGATAAATTTGTAGACAGTGGACATAATAGCAATTAACAAAAATAATTCAGACCTCACGTTTTGTAAACGATCTGTTCAAAGTAAATGGATTTTTAGTGTAGTGCACAGGAGAAATAAACTGAGAAAAATAGAATGATCCAAAATATTGAAATAGAAGTATGAACTGGTAAGATAAGTGGGTTATTGTAACAGAGGAATATTGCTTATTCTAATAAATAAACCATATAAAAAATATATACACTTCAAAATATTGAATAAATAATATGACATTAAATAGGAACATCGAAAGTAGGCTGAAAATAATAAAAATAAAAAATAAGTCTAATTGTTTTCACTTGTTTTGAGGATTTACATTTGAACGCTAAGACATATCTCTTCACCTGATATTATTATAAACGATTCAATACCATGACGCTTATTACGTCTACTATTAACTAGTATACTTTCTGAGGTACAAGTTTAAGGTTCCTACTTCAAATTTGTGAAATATGTATTGATTTAAAAATTCAATCTATAAACTTATAAGATAATTCCTTATTTACTGAAATTAAATTTCTATAGAACCTTCACGAATTGAAAGCAAAATGAGTACATTCGATGATCAATTAATATTATCTGTTGATGAATTAGTGAATGAGAATAGAATAGATTGCGGAAGTTATTGCTCAACTAATCGTTTTGACAAATCGTACAGTGAGTTTCTGATTTGTTACTTATAGTTGGGATGGTAAAACATTATTTGAATCAAAAGTAAGATACATATGAAAAGTGGGCTTTATTAGAACCTAGAAATACTGATATTAGGTTTCCAGTTAGTTGAATTCTGATATTTTATATGTACCCAATCAATCGACAATAAAGAAAACATTACTGGTCTTAAATGAACAGCATATTTATTTAAGAATGCAAGTCACAGGTAAAAATACAGTTGCTTTTTTGGCTGAAGTTGAGCCTGCTCGAGCAACCCAGGTATATTAGGACATCGATATCTAGCTCGATGTGTTAGCTTATTCATTTCACTAAAATTTAATGAGATCTCCATCAAGTGTCGAATACTCATTAAACTGTTTTTTTAGTGGTTTTTGCCTTTACATTATTTGTAGGAGAAATGGACTCCTAAATAAATCTCTTTACATATGTAGTCAAAAAGTAAACCTATTGCTCTTGTCGATGATATTCGTAATAAAGTTTCCTAATGCTCTAGAATGTATATTGTGTCAAGATATGATAGTTCTGTAGAATTTATCAAAGCTCAGTGACTAAAGTCATAGATTGGGAAGAACAGAACAGGGTTACTTTTCTTAACTGATCTAAGTAATAGTTATTTTAATATTAAAAAAAGTCTTACTGGGTATATATATATATATATATATATATATAGAGATATCCTGGAAATAATTTCATTGCAATCAATATTTATGAATACTTAACACTGTCCATACTTTATAGACAGGTATCTCGGAGAAGACATCACCGGTGTCATCTTCAAATATTATTTGACAAGAATAACGGTAAACCTGTAACTTACATCCTCAAAGGAAGTAGTCTGTCAGTACATCCTTATCGTGTAACTGCTACAGTTTCTTAGATGTGATGTAGATTAGATTTTTGACCTAATGGTTCATGTAAAGTGGATAGAGAATAATTAAACAACCTATATCTGTAATGTCACATTTTAAACTAGCTGTTACGGATTGATTACTGGACTATCCTAATGAAACCCTTTTAAATAGACCTTAGCAAAATCCTAGTCCATGCATTTAAGCCAGTTTTATCATTCATCAAGTTAAATTACCAATGCATTGTGCAAACGTTTCCTGTCAGAGAAAACTATTTCTTTCTTATTTAAACGTGTACAGTTAAATCGCTAGATATAATATACTACTTTAATTTCATTGAAATTGTTAAATATAAAATACTAGTAATATATACAGAATACGTGTTGTAAGCAAACTAGCCGACCTACTAGATAGATTTCAATCAGAACTAAATGATGAGACAAATATGGCATCAATAACTACTTAGTGACCGATCAATTGTAAATATGCTTCAGTCCTACAGGAGGTCAATTATAGACAGAACAGTTCAGTGATAACGACTTAGACTGTGAAGCTGCGTGATTCAGATTTGGATTCAGTAGGGAGTATCAATTTCATTATGAAAGAGATAGATATTGCTAATGAGTGCCACACAGAATGAAAACTTGGTTCAACGTTCCTACCTCCAACCGTCTAACATGACTAACTGAGTAGCATTTAATCTAACTGAATAGAGGAGAACTAAAAAGTTCACTGAAATAAAATCAACACATGAAAAAGTATAATGAAATAAATTAAGTAAAGTGTAAGTTTTTATGAAAGTTATAGATTCGCAACTAGATTTGTTACTGATGTTAAATACTACTTATCAAAATATTTAATGATATTACTGATAAAATATCACTCGCAAAAAGTACTATGGATAAACAGTGACACTAGTTAATGGCAATTCTAGCTATCAATCTCATTTGTCACTAGAAGGATGAAGTTTTTGACATATAAGAAATCAGTGATTATTAATTCTATTTTAAGTAATTTGAAATTGATTTCAGTAGTTGAAATGTATTTATTTATTTGCTTTCTTTAAATCATGTTTGAAACATCTTATCATTGATAATTAATTGAACGTTCATACTTTCAGTTCATGTATTTCTTATTTTATTCATGTACTGTTTCAAAATGGAATGACTCAAATGTTTACAATTTCAAGCTAAAACGTTTTTCCCTTTATTTGAAAAATGACAAAATTCAAAAGTTGCAAGGATTTTGGCACATAAAGGAATATGAAATACTTACGCATATGTAATAGTAATATTGATTATAAAAGTAATCATTAAGAACTCGAAAGTCTTCACTATTTTTATTGACTCAAACTATTTGGTTTACACTTTCAAATCATTTTAGTTTACTGTTCTATTTTCATTACTCAACGTTTGCTAAATGATAGTGTTTAGAGATTGAAGTAAATTTTTAAAAGATTCACACTGTAGATACTATCGAATTGATAACTCAGCTGCTAATACTCAGTGAGACTAGACAAGCCCATTCATGTCTGTTCTGTAGATCACTATTTTTTTAGCTCCGGAGATCGATCGTGTATCTAAACACTTGAAACTGATTATTCTTTTCTCAATTCATAACCACATATTGATTAACCAAATGCTATTACGTATAGCTGCTATTATCGTCCTTGAAATTGTAATCTATATATCCTCTTTATGTCACTTCCTCTCACTATTCCGTTTAAAATTTCCCAAATTTAAGGACAGAAAAAGAACATCCTCATTAGAGCAACAATGCAAGTAAGATATGTTCATAAAATAGCTTAGAGGTGTTTTTTGCTATGGTATTTAGACTTAAAATTCTTATCAGTAAAACTCACTTATCTTCTTAGATGAAAAATCACTGATAGATATTGAAGAAATTATTGAATGTGAAAACTCCCATTCATCTAGCTTGACGGAGAAGATATCTAATAAAAAACTTCCATTGGAAAAGATATCTTGTCAAGTGGACAATGAAAACAATACTAGTGAAATAGATGAATATTCAGATGATTTTGAAAATGAACAAGATCTAACTAGTTCAACTAAAGAAAATTTAAAATGCAATCTAATCACAACGCAGAAATCATTATCACTTAAAACAAAAAAAGCTGATTGTTCAGTAAATCAAAAACTTTATAATGCAGGTTCGTTGATAATGAATGTTTAATTACATATATTGTGTATTTTGCTGGAGAATAACTAGTGAATGTGTTTTCGGTTAATATACTATTTTTACAAGTAGATTATTTTTCAGAGTATGGAAGTCACATAATTTTCAACCTAATGAGTGAAGCGACTCATTGCTTGGATACTTATACACCCATAAAATTTCAATGAAATTCTTAAACTAACGGTCTGAGTGTTTTGTACGCTTTAAGTACATTGTAGTTTGCCGTGTGATGTTTGCTAGTTTAATTTTTTACGTCTTCATGATAAAAACATAGCTTGATTAGAAAGTATTTTAAGAAGTTAACAAGTGTTGATGGACAATCTCAACTAAGTTCTATCCTTGAGGTACATTAAAAATTAATGATATAGAAAACCATCAGGTAAAAGTATCCCAATCGTCATAGGATATAATTACTCCTGTAAAAGAGATTTTGATGAATCTAGCCTAATATATTCACTGGGTGTTTTCAATATTTTTCAGGCTATAACATTATCAACCTCTTCCTTTTTGAATGGGTTAAGCAGATATTTCAGTACAACATGGTACATTCTGTCATAATGTTAACTTTATTTGTATCATTCGTCCTTGTTGAATTACCTACTTACACCTGTCACCCCTTGTAGAGCATAAGCTACCAACAAGAATTTTCTCACCTACTCTATTCTGAGCTCTCCTTTCCGGTTGTTATTTACTCCTTTGATGTGTGCTTGAACTTCTCGGTGTAACATGTTCCTTAGTCCGCACAACAGAAGTGTTTTGACGTTCGTACTGAAAATTCTAACTTTGATGTTGGCATACAGTTTTTTTAAGTTCCATATGCTCTTCAATTGTAAGGATGGCGCTCTCGATTTACGACTTTACTACCAGTTTGCTTCATTCATCATTTACCAATCACAATATCCTCATATTTTTTATCCCGTAGGTTTGTTTATATACTGTTAACGATCTATCAGGGTAGTTAGAACATCAACCACGTAATCAGATATAAAATTAACATTATGTTATTGTAGACAACAGCTAATATAATAAATGCTTTTAAATGACGTAAGATCCTGATAGAATTTGAAATAATATCTATGACTATCTTATGTGTGTTAATACTATGTGTTATATAACGTTTTCTGAAACCACAAATTAGCTCCTACGAATTCCTATGGACCATTGAATAAAACGAATTTACGTGAAACGATTTCATATAAAAAGTAAGTACAAATACGCTATTTGTCAAACTATCAATTATTTATAAAGTTGCATCAAATTTACACAATACTGCCCAAAACTAATAATTTACGTTTATGTTTCATAAAAGCGTAACATTTTTCAGTCGAAACCAGTGCTCAATAAAAAAAATAAGGATCTTAAATTTACGAAACAGCATTTGGACGACACAACTATCCAAAATGACAGATATTATTCAGGAAATAATTTATGTGGTTGATGAGACGGTAAAGGTTTAACATATTCGATAGTACATAAATAAAAATTTCACCTATTCGGAGTTTGCTGAATTAGATGCTGCATAGGATGATAGGATTCGATTATGATGATTTCCAAGAATGGATTTTAAATATTTGAATTTCAGTGTTATGATATTAAAATTAACTAGTAAAAACATGAGTTGCCTGAACTGATAATCTGACCATTGTTTTGATAACAAGATCTGAGACTATCACATTACAAAACGACATAACTATCTGGGTATTACGTGAAAGTAAAACTTTTCAAATACAAAAAACTCAATTAAAGCAGTGTAACTGAGTAACTTAACAAATAATTATTCCGAACTAAACATGAAATTCACAAGATGACAGCTGAACGAGGTTGTAGTTCTGTCCGACTTATACCCTAGTCTAATTTTTATTCTACATTCTCAGTTATACAACCCACTAGGCGTTAACACTGGATTACTATTCAACGAGTTTATGCACTATAATAGTAAATTTTCACCACGAACTAACAACAGTTGGAGAACCACTGAAAACTAGAAGTATTAAGTTGCTGATTTTTTCCAGTCTGAAAGTTCATAAACGAAAATGACATGAAGTATTAAATCATAGTGTGAACAGCGCATAATTAAGTTTACCGACTTTTTATTATTTTTTTTTCAGAATATCAAAAAACGTATCTGAAACCCAACAAACAAAGGATGCTGAAGTTCAAACAGTGTGGTCAGGTGATTTTCCACAAAACTACCATATTCCACACAACCTTCCAATAATAAAATATGAAGAAATTCCTAATTCTACTGTTAATACTACTCTTAAAATGCAAAATATAACATCATCGCTCATAAATTACAAAACATTACATAGTAAGTGTCATATTTCAAGAAGTTTCCCGTGATATAAATTATGATAGTTGTAAAATTGTTATTCTCTGCCGTTTGTGTAATTGGCTATCTGAAACATATATATCGAATTTCAGTACTCAGAAAAAATTTAGTGTATAATGGAGGAACCATGAATACCAACACTAGAGACATTTTCTGACAATCATTGGGTTGATTAAACTTACTAGAGCCGTTTACATGATGAATATAATTTGTCAACGAAAACTAGTACGCGATAACGTTTCAAGTGAACGGTACTGGGTTCGAGTCCCGGAGTATATATCAACCCTAGGATATAATAGCATCCGACTGACGAGTCCCAAACACGATGAAACACGCGCCCTGCATTCCAGTTAGACATTATCTCTACTTAGAAAGCTATTACAGTTAATTTGTAACATTTATATATACACGTTGTTAAAGAATCGATTATAATTTTTCACGATTATTTTTTAATTAGCTTTAACAACTTATAATCCTTGTTTAACTGCACTGGATAATATGTTGAAACAACAAATAAATCTTACAAGAGAATTTCTAAGAACACAAAGAAATTTACATGAAACGATTAGTAAAGCAATAAGTCAATGTGTTATTACAAACAATTATAATTAAAGAGAGAGATTTATACAAGTAAGTGATAAATATATTCAAATAAAAATTTCCACGAAACTATATTGTTTCGTTAGAAAAGTAAGCGTTTGGTCTGTCACTTATGTATAACCAACAGAACTAGTTCATTTTGAAGGTAATCTCTTGTCAATACATGTTATTACTTTATAAGCCATCGAAAAAACAGTGAATGACTTAACGACTAGTTTATTCTGGTTCAGTTTCGAGTTTGCTTCATAAGAGATTTAAAATTGTCATTACATTACCTATAGATAGATCTTGTATTTTGTGGAACTATGAATGTGGACAACTGAACAGTCCCAGATTAAAACACTTTTCCCATTGTATCTAACACTTTACCAGATGATATCAGTTTGAATTTTTACTAAATCCTTCATGTATTTTTGATTGTATAGCTTAAAAAATGTCACTGATTGTTGTTTTTTGTGAACTTTCAAAGTAATTAGAAATATCAGAGTAACGAATTGTTTAAAGGACTAAACAACTAACTTAAATATCAGTAATCCAAATACTTATCAGTCATCATACAGTTTATGGAAATTTCTCGAGGTTAAGTAAATGTCTTCACCTTGCTTTTGGATGTGGTTTCCACAATTATATCTGATGATGATACAAATAAAATAAACTAAACTGCAGTTTACATCTATTAAAATGAAACTTGGATTCTTAGTGAAAATGTCACAGGTTTTAGTAATCGATTTAGCAACTCAGTGGTATACACTTTTGGATTTTCAATTGAAAGGTAACGAGTTTGAATCTCAGCGTAGAAATCAACACTGAGATTTATGGACATCTGATTTTTCAATCTTAAAAAGAAGGAAACGAGGGTTCCGTATTCGACTGGTAACTAAATATTGAATATAAAACTTATAATATAACGATGAAATGTGATGATGGGATAAAAAAGATAGTATAGTGACAGGGATTCGGCAATCTCAATTCTGAATATAAGAAACGGGAAATTGTAAACACTTACTAATGTATGAAATATGTTGCTGAAATCAAAATCGTGCACCATTTCTGTTTAAATCGAAATTACTTTCAGTTAACATCCATGATGAGATCTACACAACTTGGCAGTTTCATGTAAATTTATACGAACAAAATGGTAGATAGATTCTCAAATGACTACTAAGATGTTTCATAATAGTCTATACATATACTTTTATTCTATTAAATATTTGAAAATAATAGATGTATATTTGTACATTTATTGAATAAAACATGTTTTATATTGAATGGTCAATTTTCATTTAAGAATTACAATGAATAGAGATTATAATTTGATTTTACAAGAAAAAATAATGCAATAATCTAACACACAAAATTAAAATCTAAACGTATATATATTTATCTATCTATTTTTATTTTATTACAGACTACAGTGAAGAGATTATAGAGAAAAAAATGACATCTGAAAAGTATTAATAATAACTTTTGAGATGTACTTCATGCGGTTCAATAAACTGAACACTAATACTGGGATTATTAATATCATTAATTTTCTAGAGTGTAAATTATATTCAATTAGTTGATAAGTATATGAGAGTATAATGGTTAAGTGAAATTTTATTAAAGCTATTTAATCGACAATTTGTAATCTTTATTTTTCTTCTTTAAAACGCATATTACGAAATATGAAATTATCTTTGTATTTATCATAAACATGAAATATGCTACCTCCCTCCCCCCTTTTCACTTCACTATGTAAAATATGAATAAATGTTATTTTAAATTACAGTACAATATTTATATTTTATTTACAAATATATATATATATATATATATATATATATGAAAATGTACTCTCCATGACATACAAAATTAATCGGGAAGTAACGGCATTAAACGAGCTTGTTTAGCTTTGTGTTTTTTTATTCGTTTATCTCGTGTTGTTATTAATTCATCGAATAGATCGATTTGTTGATTCTCTTCTAGTTTTCTAGCTAAACATTCTAAACCGGCTAAATTCATACCGATAAGATTCTAAAATGTACAAAAGAGAAATAAGTGAAAATAATTAAAGATTTTAAGGATGTTATAACCTTATTGATGTTTATTAATATAGAGAAGTGATTGTCATTAAAACTGATAGTTCCGAAAACATTTCACTTCAGTATAGCAGCGAGTCAATATGAATAAGTATTCAAAGTTAGATAAACTAAACAAATCAACACAAAATCCCTTCAGCTAAATTGTAACAGTCAGCTCACTGGTGACTTCGAAATGTAGTTCAAATTCTAGTGAGAAGTTGGGATTTTAGAGTTTATTATATTGGAAGTAAGAAAGCTTTCATCAATGACATTAGGTAACCGTCGCTTTATATCATAAATGGAATAAATTTTAAGTCGTACCATGGGACGTCAACGTAATAGTTGTAATCAATAGGCGTTAGCTGTAAGATATGAAGCCCTTGTATTCGATCCCCAGTGGTATTTTAGGTGCGAACTGCTGAAGAGTTCCGTACTAGGGTAAAAGAGCTGTTCAGTGCTACTACTGGTACCTTAGAAATTAAACCAATCTCCATAAAACCCTTCAAACAAACGGTAATCAATATAAATTTATTCTACATTACACTACTCTCATTTTTTTCAAACATTATGGTTGGAGATCGTAGATAACATGAGTACAATAGCTAGTTAGAGGAGAGATATTTTTCCTTTATTATTTAGGATCCTTAGCTTTCAAACTGATTAGATTTCTACCATTGTAATGTGTGGTAACTTAGACTGATACCAATCTGTGCAAGGTTATACATTGTTGGTGTCTGTCTGTTGTATGGCTTTTTCCTTCTAGTAAAATCACGACTTCCACTGGTCAAGCCAAAAATTTAGATTCATCATCATTAAAAAGAATGAAATGGAAAATAAATAGATTTTGATCAAAAACGTTCTCACTGACAAAATTCACAGTGGAAAAGGATTCGAACAACAAGCTATTATTATTAGATGTCTTGATCACCAGGACCAACACAGATGAACCGGACACTTAGGTATGTCGGAAGCCAACTTATACAGATCAAAGTCGCAACTACATTAGGATAAAGAATCAGGTCAAAGGGAGGGACAATTAAAACAAATATGCAGATAGGTTGTAGGGCAACAATACCCTATCAGGATCGACATGACAAACTACTAGTTATATGTGCAGAAATTCGAATACCTCACTTCTACCTGAAGTTTGTGCTGCTGATGTTGTTCAGAAGAATAATGAAAGCTTCACGACTAAGCCATCTATCTAGAAAAAAGAAACTCCACCAGGAATAGGATATTTCCTTCTTTCTGTTTATTGTTGCCGGGTAACTATCACTATAAAAGCACAGATTACATGAATTGGAGATCACAAATATTTTGGGTGATCACTATCATCATATGTAAACGATCGATTCTGGAGCAAGTCTAGATAGTAGAATAACCTCAGTTAAATTAGATGTCTTTTGTGAGTCTGAGTCGAACTGTACAACTAATAAGAACAATTTCCTTTTCTCCACAAACTATAATTAAAATGATACACACAAAGAGAAAATAACCATGTTAATCATTTATGAAATCGGTTTGCAAGCCTAAAATTATATCGTAATCCATATATTTCCTTTTAGCTTCAATTATAATTTTCACATGTATAACTAAAAAAGTAATGGATGACAGGAATAGATATTAGTTACTACTTATTTTTTTGTCCCATCATGCAGTAGAGATTTTATGAGGATCGTGTTCGTTTAAATGAAGAAAATTAGAATATTACAATAAACAAGCAGCCCATTATTAATAGATAAATGACTTGAATATATGAAACTATAGTAATAATATGGCTAAAACAAGAGACATACTTTTGCACGGACTAATTGTTCCATCCTAGCCTTAGATGACTGACGGATTGCGTCACGTAGCTCGGGACATGATATTGCAAGACCAAAATGTAGAGTTACTAGATGACGAATTGAACGTCCAACAAGTTCTATTTCCCAACCACGTGATAACCAATCCGCTAACTTAGGAAGTAGACGGCGAACATGTTCACTAGTTAAAGCGCCCAGTGCATGTTCTAAACCTGCTCCACCACCACCTAAACGAGAATACGGTGCTCTTAGAGCCATTAAACTTTTGAGTAGAAATTTCTCTGGACAATTTGTTCCACGTGCAACCATTAGAGGATGTGGTGTTGTGTTTTTAGCTCCATTTTTACGTTTGACTATCTCTTCTTCATAAATGTCCATTGCTTCCATAAACATATCAGCCTGAAAGTTACGAGTAGAAAGTGTGTAAAAATGAAATCGTTAGAATTAGTGTTGAAAAAAACTGAAATTATTAAGAGATTGAGTATACGGTTTGTTTAGCTGGTAAAAAAGATTTGAGTATCTTTGATGTTCATTGTGATAAAACTTCTAATGGTAAGCTACAATTCACTTGACGTGCATTGATTCTGATACGAAGCTAGAAAACTGTTAATAAGTGTATTAATGTCGCACATATTAACTCAATGTTCTTCAACAATGTATAAAAGTAGTTTTTTAGCTATTGCTAACAGTTCACAAGTCTGGTTATTCCTTTTTTCGTCCATTGTTTTTTCAATTATGCTAAAAGGAAGTTACAAATTAACCGATCACCACTGTAGTGGTTGTTTGTGTATTAGGATAAGGTTGCATACTAAGCTATCAGGTATACATATGTACGTATCAAAGGTACTATCTGCCTCCTCTAACATTCGAAAATGAAGTTCGGTATGAAACCAAGCATTTTACTAGTGAAGAGGAATGCCGCCAACATTCAGTTACAGTTGTGTTAAATTTGGTAGTTGCGCAAACAGATATGAAGAAAACAATTAACTTGAGTGAAGTTGAACTGTGTTATATAAACGCACGATTCTTAGTATTTACAAACGTTGAAGTTAACTAAAGTTGTGGTATCTTTAAATCGTGTTCAAGAAAATGTCTGTTTCATAAACGGTTACTCTTGTAAAGCAAAGTAGATTACAGGGAATAAAATTTCGTGAAACTACAATCTATTTGCTTGACGCACTCAGCTTTTAAATATAAGATCGTAAACTTGAATTTTGTTTGATCTAATCATTCGACATTGCACAGGTTAATAACGAAAAAAAATATTTTAAAGATTCACGATAAACTTACAGCATCTCTTGTATTACCGGTTGGTCGGCCTAAAGGACCAATTTCACTAGCTTCTGAAGGCATCGCTCCAGGAATCACTGCTTCTGACCGAACCAATTCTTCTTCCTCCTCCTGTTCTCGCGCAATTTGTTCCTCTTCTTCTAAAATCAGAAGTTCATCAGCTTCCTCCCATATTCTTATGCTGAAATCTTGACCAGTAGATAAAATAAGACCTCCCCATAGTTCATCCATATCATCATCATTGCTTCCTTCGTCTTGGTTGTTCCGTGCATGTGATTTGCGTGCTTTTTCCAATTTAGGTGTTTTCTTTTGGGTCAAAAGAGCTGTGTTAGTAATCGTTGTAGCTAAAGAAGTCACGCTACCGTTATGACCCTGGAAATGATTAAAGAAATGTCAGAATTATGCATACAAGATCCTACCATATTAGCACAGGATGCTAAATAAAAATAAATTGTGCTACGTATCGTCAGTCACTATACCTAATTGATCACTAGATAGTAAGCAGAAGCGATACATTTTTCTGTGCAAATCAAAACGTGAAGTTTAAAAATCAGGTGATACGACGAACTGTTGCAAACTTAAAGGTGCTTTTGGTCTACAAGGTGAGATCCCAAGTTAATCATGGTGTTCGATCACTTATTTGAAAGGTTGCAATAAGCAAATAAAAAAATGAACTTTATCTTTGTTGACCAAAATTTCATCTTGTCTACTACATATTTAGTAGTAACGTGAATGAACGATGAGAGTTTTAGTCTTTAAAGGAAAAATGAGTTTCACAAAAATTGATACATTTTTCTATTGGGTATAATATATAAAACATGAATTTGCTCTGAACACTAACCGCTTGCGAATATGTAACATTTTTAGGAAGGCACTATGATCAAACGAGAGATGAAGTTTCTTAGAAGATTTATTTAAAACTACCCTTATAATTAATGACACAGATATTTTATCCGTTACAGCCATTTCAGTGACACCCATTAAACACTAAATACTAAACCTAATTTGCATGAAAAACTTAACATACCTTAAGGGTAGTAATTTCACGGAACTTCTTAATATCCCACTGTTTAATCTGACCACCTTTATCGGAAGAGACAGCCAGCGAAGTATGTGGAATGAATCGAACACAAGTGATACTAGAAAATAGTCGAGAAAGAAAACCGAGTTAATTATAACTGTAACAGGCATGAAAATAATATGGTACCTAGAATCTTTAATAAGACCTAATGATAATAAACGATAACTTGCCAGTAACCAATAATTCGAATCAGTGACATTGGGTAGCCAAATTCAGTTCACAGTAAAAATTTCAATTTAATGAACTTAGTGAAGTATATAGTGAATCCCAGTGTAGGAAAATGGAAACAGACTACTAAGGTGAAGGTTTCGTCTTGTTTAGTTCACAGCTAAGACTGTGAATTGCACACATATATTCAACATCAAGAATTAAAGTTTTGAAATTTAGCAATTCACGAGAGCATATATAAATTCAAAAAAGTACTACTTTGAAGTTAAATGAGAAAACTTACGGTTCTGAATGTGAGGTAAATCGTCTCTGACAATTACCAAACTGTAATTCCCATAAACGAACTGTTTTATCGGTACTGCCTGT